CATGGTGTGTGTGTCTGTAGAGTTGAGTTTCTCCTTCCACCTTTACATGAGTTTTGGAGATCAAACTCAGGTCACCAAGCTTTCATAGCAAATACCTTTACCTTCCAGATCATGTCACTAGCCCCTAAAACACAATATTTTGTCTAGTATGCATACTGTGGGTTTGAAATGTTTTATTCAGACAGTGTATAGCCTTAATTAAAAAAAAAACAGAATTATTCAATGAATTTTTTTTTAAGGAGAAGTGTCATGTAGCCTAGGCTGGCCTCAAACTGAATAAGTGGCTAAAGATGACCTGCTTCCAGCTCTCCATGGCTGAGATTACAGGTATGGACCAACTACCACATTTATGCAGTGTTGGTGATCCAATGCAGGGTATTGAACATGCTAGGCAAGCACTCCACCAACATAGCTACACCCTTGGTCCTGAAAATTTTATTTAAAAAAATTCAAGGGCCTGGAGAGATGGCTCAGCAGTTAAGAGCCCCGGCTACTCTTCCAGAGGATATGGGTTTGATTTCCAGCACCCACTTGGTGGCTGACAATCACCTATAACTCCAGTTCCAAGGGAATCTGACACCCTCTTCTGACCTCCGCGGATATTGCATGACACGGGTGCATTTACACACATGCAGGCAATACACTCATACATAAAATTTAAAAAAAATATAAAAAAATTCAAAACTTGAATTATTACCTTTCCATGAACAGCTGACATACTTCAGTGAGAAGCAGACAGCAGAATCATTTTGCACAATAAATGAAAAAGATGGAATGCACCGAGTTCATCTGATCTTATTTGTACCACTTCCTTCAGGGTTAGTCAGGATCAGAAAGTATATTGCTGGCCAATAGCTTTGTGAATGGATGTTGCATGTAAACTGCTTTTACTTTCAGAACTGTAACATCGTTGATCTAGTCCTGGTTGCTGCTTTCATCCCCATACAGAGGTTTCCAGGATGGAAACATCACATCCAACACAATCATCAGTAACAAATTAAACTGTTTTCCCCTCTAGCATCACTGTCAGTGACAAGCAGAAGCAATAGTCATCTGGCACTTCCTTTTCATATGTGTGATACCTAAGAGCTCATTCATAAGCTGCACGTCTGTGGTTTCAGCCAACCGTGAAGCAAATGTTCGCTTTACACTGCCCCCCGCCCCCCTCAAGAGGGTAGTGATTGCAATTCCAAGTTGCTCAAATATTATGTGACACCCAACAGTGCCATTTAATGAAGGAATTTTGCCAATAGCTTATTTTGCCATCTCACATATGACACTTACCATTAAACCTATCAAGTGCTTAAAAACTCTTAGCAAGGCTGTCACTTGTAAATAAATATACTTGCAATAAAGAGCAATAACAAACAATTTGGAATGATTTTTAGTCTTGTTTCCATTTTTATGAGAAAAAGAAAACCTCAATTTTGTATCAGATTCTGAGTTTTGTGCTTATTCTAGAAGAAAATAACTGAAAAGTTGACCAAAAGTCTTGGTGATGTCTTGCTCTTATTTGGTAAGTGGAGATCATCCTGCCCTGGGGACTAGGGAATGAATGGACTGATCACCCCATACAATCTAGTCCTTGATATTCCCCCCCTTTTTTAAATGTAAGTGAATCTCATTTTTAAAATATTATTTATTTATTATTTTTTGAGTGTATTGCCTGCATGTATGTGAGTGCACCTGTGTCGTGCAATGCC